GGGGGGGAGGGGGTTATTGAGAGGAGGGGGAAGGAAACCCAACATTTATTTGTCATGGTTACTAGTTAGTCAAGAGTGTTAACAGATCCCTGGATAACCTTTGGAGGAAATTTGCCTTCGTTACAGTTTTAAAGCTCATCAGGGAAATCACCCAGTTGTGTAGCAAGTAGAAGCGGGCGCTCAAGCCGTGTCCCCCCCTCCTCCCTTCCTCTTCTCTTCGTTTCCTTCCGAATTTTGCGGGACTTTTTCTTTGCATGGGCCCCAGTGTCCCACTTGTTCTTTATGTTCTCCATGTGGCAAAAGTCTTAATTTTCCTTTTCGATCCCACGATGGAAAAATCATATATATATATATATATGTGTGTGTGTGTGTTTCTGTCGTAGTTATGCTTTCTAGTGAGGTTCTGTTATGGTCTGATAACTATGCAAAACTAAGTTTACATTGGCCTGGAAAGCTTGTTTCTGGGTCCCGCTTTCTTTCTCTCTCTCTCTCTCCTAAGTTCACCCTCCCCTTTCTGTTGATTTAATGCATCCGTATTTAGTATGAGACCCAAATTTAATCTTCAGCTCTGATGTTTATAAGTACACGTGTCCTGTGTCCGCCCACCAACTTGACTGCTCCATTTCGGGAGGGGTCTCATCCGTGTCTCAAATTTAATATTTTCACAGTGGAAATTCTTGATTTCCATGCCTGCCCCCCCACCCCCCAAAGTTGCTTATGCTACCTCTGTTCTGTGGCATCTTCCTTCTTCTCCTATCCCACAGCCAATCTATACAAAAGTCGTCTTGATTCTCCCTCCAAAATGTGATATTTGAAAAAGCATAAATCACATGTTGTTCCCCTGTGTAAAACTCTTCAGTGGATTTCCTTTGCACTTGGCATGAAATCCAAATCGTTACTAAGAGTCATGAGACCCCTGTGATCAGGCAGGCCCCTCCTAGAGGTGCTGGCCATTGACACACTGGCCGCCTCAGCTCTGTCCTTGGCACCTTCTCAGCCTTCAGGGTTCAACCTAAAAGCTGCCTCCTCCTTGGAGCCCAGTAAACACGGGTTGAATCTTGAATGAATGAGCCCAGCCCTCCCTCCATCTCTATTCTGTTCCCCACCCCACCGCACGGAACACACGGTCTGTCCCATTAGGGCGACTCCGCACACCAGCTTCGTAATCAGCATCATGGGCTTGGGCTGCGCACAGTTATGATCTGAACAGATGTATATTCAGGACGATTTTCAAAGAACTCTTAATTTTTCATTTCTTGTTGTAATAAGGAATATAAGGCCCAGAAAGTGAAAAGATGATAAGACGTCCTTTTGTAATAAAAGGAGTAAGAGTCCCTGAAACATCTGATGGAAAGCCTTTGGTTTTCTGTGTTAGTGTCTCATGCAGTTTCTAGCCTGTGATTTGGTTTCCTTTTTGCTGCTGGGTCTCCCTTCCTCCCCCCGTCTCCTCCTTTTATAAGTCTCTTCTAGTTCCCTTTCCTGCTTTTAACTTTAATCAGGCCTTAGTTGGAGCAACTTCATAGCCTGTGTGACCCCAGTTCTTCGGTTTTTGAAAAGACCATGGAAAACGCAGGTGGGGCAAAGCCCACTCTCGACGTCTCTGCAGGCAGAACCAGGGAGTCCTCCTTAGAACTACTTGGCTGGATCTTGTCTCCAGTTATCAGTTGGCCCACGGACCTTAGAATTCTGAATACGAGGGGAAGATTTTCTATCCGGTCCTGCATCAGAAATTATGTTGTATATATTGATGTCATACCATTAAGGAAGAGAAAAATCGTGACCATTTGCTCTGCGTTTCTTCTGAGTGTGTGAGAAATGTCCATTGGTTTGAGTACTGTGTCAAAAAAAATCACACTGGCTTTCAGCAACTCTCAAATGACCACGTGTTGGGCCCCAAAGAATGTCTTTTGTAGAAGATGAGTTCTGTTTCACCCTGGATCCTCCCTGCTGTCCCTTTGTAAAGGCACAGCTCCAGATTTTGGCATGTGGGATTTCTCCGGGGCCGCTTGGCTCTCTGCCTCTGCTGCAGGTTGGTGAAAGTTAAATTGGACAGTATTACTTTTCATTATGAGCAAGTCCAAGGCTTTTCCCTTAGACATGGTCAGAGGGAAGTGAAACAACTTACTGAAATGATACCCCGACCTGGAAGGAGCCACCGGGCACGTTTTCATCATGTGGACAGTATATTGCCAAAAGTAACATGCTTATTCTGTTGACTGACTTTGGGAGATTAGGTGACATAATTAGGCATTACACAGGAGCTCATGACACACTGTTGCAAAGACTGATTTCTTTAATCATTCACTAAGGGATTTTAGGGCCAAAATACTCAGTCTTATTAAGCAAATAAAGCTAACATTGAAACCTTGATCAGAGTTGTGTGCAAGAACTTCTGAGGCCCGTGAAGAAGAGGGGATATCAGTGCTGTCCAAATAATCACAAAGTTGCCAGAACTTTCAAAAAATAGATGCATAAAGTGTGCCTTCTGTGGCTCACTCAGATGCCTCTGATTCAAGGTCATTGTTATCTTAACGATACTATTACTTGCATGGCTTAGACTAGTTTTTCTGCCATACCATTGGTTCTTAACTGGAAGCCTGTGTCAGAATAATTTAGGAAGTCATTGGAAGTTTTTTTTCATAAAATGTGCCTGTCAGGGGCCCATCCCAGACTATTGGTTCTGAGTCATTTGTGTTGGAGCCTGGAAATATGTCCTTGGAAAAAGTCCCCACAAAATTATGTAGTTTCTGGTTTGAAAACAATCTAGGGCCCACTACTCAGGACTGAAAGCTGGCGTGGCAGAAACCAAAGGTGACTCATCTTTGTAACCGTAGCGTTTAACGTGGTTCCTGGTTTGTAGGTGGGAGCTCAGTAAATGGTCATCGGGGTAATGGAAACAAATTACCTAGAAGACTGTGCCCTGTGTATTTTTAACTACGCATTCATTTGAGTTTCTACCAGCTAAGTACGTTTAATAGCTGAATAGAACTTAAAAAATAACCTTTGGAGGGAGGTCGCCTCTACAGAATTACAAAGCATTGTGTGGTCTAAATGCATAGTAAGTAGACAGATGATACAGATTTTAATAACAATGTGAAGGTAGAGAACATAGCAGGGGTATGAAAAACATCTTCATAATCACCGACATCTAATTTACCGCTATTTTATGTGTAAAAAGGTCTTTTCGAATAAGAACTCTAGTAGCATCCCAACATTGTAACAGGCTCTATCTCCCGATCAAGGCTAATCACTAATTGATAAGCAATTATTTCTTGAGGCAGCTGGGATCTATGCATTCAAATAATTTCACTTCCATGTGGGGCGACAAGACATTCTGGAAACTCCTCTTTGGGAACTGCCTATGCCACTCTGTCATATACGTACCCGTATCCTGACTTCCTGCTTGCCACCTCTCTGACTTGTTCCCTTGCCATCGAGGAAGCTTCAGGAAAAGTGGTGTGACAATAACCATCCAAGACGTAAACTAATCGGGGGCCTGTATGTGATGTACGGACTTGGCACAGAGGGACAGGTGGAGCCCAGGGGGTCCTGGGGTATTGAGGAAAAGCTCGTGAAAGGATCTGAGCCAGGAGATGGAAGAAGGAGAAGTAGCCCAGACGGGGGGCATCGTGGAAACGTTCACAGAGTTGGGACGAGCGGGACGCATGAGGGTGGCTGGGAGGAGGGGTGAGGCGTCCGCGGCCAGTTCACCATCGAGTTCTCAATGGGAGATCTCAGGAAGAAAGCGACTAGTCTCTGTGGGCATAAAATGCCATCCTGAAGCCTCTGTCTCTACTGAGACACAGGGAGACTGGTCTCCTCCTCCTTCCCAACTGGGGGTCGAGGCGCGTCTCCTCTCCACTCTGACTCGCGTTCATTTCCCGTCACGACCTTGACGCTTGTGATTTGAGTTCAGGCTTCTGCTCTGCTTTGAGCCTCTCTTCTGCCTGTGAAAATGATCTCTTGCATTAATGTAAGACTGCCCTTTTAGATTCCTAGTCTCTGGACGTCCCTCAGGACATGAGGAGTAGGTGGCCCTGTTGTCTCAATGCCTGAGACAGTCTCACTTCGTGCCTATGCCCAACTGTAATCATAAAAAGCCTGTTTTGATCTGCAAAGAGCCCCAGTTTTGATCAGTTCTGTGGTCCCCCTAATTTGGGGCTCTAATCCTTAACACATGAGAACGTTGGGACTCAGGCATGACTGTCTAGAGTCATTTTCACTACCTGACTCCAGTATGTCATTGATACAAAATACTTATAGTATTTCTTTATTCCAGTTGGAGGCTATATTTATTTCATATTTATTGTTACTTACTATCTATAAATAGCCACACTAGACAAAGATCATTCAATGATAAACATGACGCATCGATGATACTGCAATTAATATTCAACTGTGATGGATCCTGTGTTGTTAGTTGGTTAAAACCATCTAACTTAAACTGATACTGTGTAGGTAGGTTGGTGATCAAGTAAGATATTCAACGATAAACCCAGCATAGACTACGGACCCATGTTGCATGCCCGCCTGTGAAGGCAGAGGTCTGCTCAGGCAGGCTGGCGATGGGGCTCGGCCTTGGGAGGCAGTGCTGTGACTACCCCAGGTACCCAGGAGGCAGAAGAGTTGGGAGAATCAGGCAGATGGCTTCCTGGGAGAAGATGGGATTAAATCAGAGAGGTGGAATCCTAACTTGTCAGAGTAGGGATAGACTTGAGAAAGTGGCCCCGAGAGGGTGAGGGCAGGAACAGAGCCGCAGGATCTGAGGGGTGACAGAGTGCTGGCAGCTCCTCTTCATGGGCCTTGGGTGTTTCGCCTGATGCCTGGGAGGAGTGGCTGGTCTGAAAGGCCAGATGCTACTGTATGTGCTCTTGTCTTTTGCCTAACTTCATGCACTTTGTGGTGTTGCCAGATTTGAACGTTGCCTAAACTAAATCCATAGTCTTATAAAAATAATGTGGACAAAACTTCACATTTCCTCTTGTCCCATTTTCTCTCAGGTTTTGTGAATGATTCCGTTAGTAAATCCATCGTGGCTCTGCGCTTGACCCTGGTGGTGAAGACCAGCACCTGCGCCCCTGCGGAGAGCCGTGCACGTGACGTGGAGTGTTCGGGGAAAGGAGCATGCACCACGAAGCCCTCAGAGGTAAGGGGACACTGGGTAGCCTTAAAATATATGTTAATATAAATGTATTAGAAAAAAACCCCTACATTTCTGGTTTCAATTATATGTGAGTATGTAACACACAGATACATAAATCTCCACATGATTTCTGAAGTAATTATAATGAATTTGTGCAGTGCTAGCCCTTCTTGCTTTGGTATGAACTAGAGACTTTGTGAGAATGAGTCGCCGTCATATCTGGTGAGAGGATACTTCACAGTTCCGAGTTGATGGGTGGTTTGTGACAAAGCTTTAACTTGTTGTTCTTAGATGCCACACAACCTGGAAAGGTCTTTTTAAACGGTTACTATAGCACCGCAGGGGGCTGTCCTTTTGAAAACTGCTTTTGTTACAATGGTTGACTATGATGTTTTCTTTTTCTTATAAAAATTTTGAACTGTTGGCCACTATTTGTCTTTGAACTTTGTGTCCAAGGTTGGCTGCTGCCTATTTGATGTTTCCCTAATTATCTGGAAGGTGTGTCAGGGAGTAACAAGGCCTTTCTGCTGGTGTGGGTTTTAAGTTTTCTTTAGATCCAGTTAGGTTCCATGGATCCTGCCTCCTGCCTCCCAAGAGCAAGAGATATGTATTAGGGTTCTTCAGAGAAACAGAACCAATAGGAGATTATATATGATTTATTTTAAGGCATTGGTTCATTGTAGGTCTACTCATTGTGGAGTCTCGATGAGTTCAAAATTTGATTGGGGAGAGGCTGGCAGGCTGAAGACTCAGGAAAGAGTTGCAGTTCAAGTCCAAAGGCAGTCTGCTGGTGAACCAGGAAGAGCTGATATTGCAGATAAGTCCAAAGACTGCTGGGAGAATTCCCTCTTGCCTGGGAGAGATCAGCCTTTTGTTCTTTTCAGGTCTTCAACTGATTGGATGAGGCCCACCCTCATTATGTAGGGAAATCTGCTTTACTCAAAGTCTACTGATTTAAATGTAAATCTCATCCAAAAACACCCTTCTAGAAATATCCAGAATAATGTTTGACCAAATATCTAGGCCCCGTGGCCCAGTCTTGTTGACGTATAAAATTAACCATCACAAGGTTTGCTCTCCAATTCATTTTTGCATCCTTTCTACTCAGTTGCATCCTTTGCCCACACAATTAAAGGAGTAGTTTTAAAATTTAGTTTGCCTAAGATTTGCCCAAGGCCCTTGACAAAAAGCCATATTGTAGGCCCCTCACTCAGGTTGTGATGCCTTTTGTTAGGCAGCCTGGTGATTCTGATGAAAAAATAGGTTGTGGACCATAATTCTGGAACTAGAGGTCTCAGGAGCAGTGTGTGTCATCTTCCCATTCTTGCTGATTCCCTAAAGCAAACATGCAGCATCTTTTATTCAAGGATTTCACTATTAATACATGCAAGGTCACATGGAATTAATTTTAAAAAATAACTGCTTGATAAGTGATATTAATGGTTCTATATGCATCCCCAAACTATTTTATTTGTTGGCCCTCATTTATATTGATAGATAAATGGGGTCAGGCCTTCATTCTTAAAAGGTTCCTTAGAAATCTCCCTAGGTCTTGCCTTAGGAACCCATCATCCTTAGACTATTTGGATCAGATACAGAGCTGACTATTCAGACTGTGTTTTGAGAGAGAATTGAACTGGCATCAAGGCTAGGAGCCACTCCCAGTTCCCTCTGGAGCCTGTACCTTAATTCTGTCTTCAGGTGTGGGCCTGTGATGAGAAAAGCACTAGCATGTTGGGCTCCTGAAGATCCCTGACCTTCTGTTACCTGCCTCCCTGCTCTTAGAAGTCAAAATCTCAAGTTCTCGAAAGTCCTAGTCTTCCTATGGCTGAGCTCTTCTGCTTGGGTTTGGTTTATTGGAAATAAATCACTGCCCTGAATTGTCTATCACTTGTTAACACCCACTGTCCTTGTTCTCCAGCCCATGCAGCCTGGGCAGGCGACACTGTTTTTTCTTGTTTCAAAAGCATGTGCCTCTTTGTTAGGGCTCGCAGTAAATTCCCGTCTCTGAGGTTGGTTATTTCTGGTCGCATGCCCTAAGCTGGGTGCCTGAGCACCCTTTCCAGCTTCCAACCTGGCTCCTCCCACAGTCCCTGCAGCCCCCTGGTTCCTTCCAACAGCTGCTCCAAATATGGTTTTAAAGTGCAAATAATAGAAAAACACACACGTACAAATGGTCTCATCTGTTTTCCTGAAGTCTGACAGATTGGAACTTTAGTTTGATGGTGGTATTTGCCTGTTCCTTCTGTGACATCCTCTGAACTTTTAAGAACCAGCCTGGCTTTGCAGTTTATCCTTCCGAGTTGGGAGTGTTAGGTAATTCAGAGTGACCTGTTATGTGTTAGGGGATCATCCAGCATAACTTCCCCCAAAGTGGCCGGAAACACTAACAGGTTCTGGACATATGTTACTAACCAGTCTTACCCGCAGAGTTGTGGCTCCTTCCTGGTGTTAGATGAGACCTGCCCTCCGGTTCAGAATAGCTCCATGGAATAGCTCCATCCTTGTGCCTTGGCCTCCAGGGCTTGGTCCTATTCTCTGCTGCTGAGCTACAGGCATGTGAAGACTTGCCCAGTAGAGGCGGTGCTTGCAGTTACAAAACTGACTTCACTGAGCCCAGTGGTTTTCGGGCTTTTTGGTCTCAGAACTCCTCTGCATTTTAAAAAATGATTGAGGTCCCCAAAGAGCTCTTGTTTATTGGGCTCCCTCTATTGATATTTACTACATTAAGTTACAACTAAGGAATTAAAAACATTATTTCTCTTAATTAATAAATCCATCACATGTTAGCAAAATGACACCTTTTTAAGGAAAAGTATATTTTCCAAAGCAAAAAGAATTTAGTGAGAAATGAGGCCCTGCTTTCATTTTTACAAATCTCTTTAGTAGCTGGCTTCAAAGAAGATGGCTGGATTTTTACATTTGCTTTTGTATCTGATCTATTGTGAAGCGTTGTTTTGGTTGAAGAAGGGGAAGATAATTCAGCCTCACACAGATACTCAGCTGGCAAAAGGAGAAGTGTTTTAATAGTCTTTTCAGATAACTGAGTATCTTGAAAATACTCCAAAACCCGACGAGCGGCAGATTCATAAAGGTTAATTGAATGTGGGATTTGAAACTGTGTCAGTGATCTCTTGCTCTCTGTTACATAAAATCCACTGGTCTGCTGTGCATTTTGGATCTTCTACTGATGAATGGCTTTTATAACATCACACATTGGTCATTTGGAAAGTAATGGACTTACAAAGAGCTTCCAAATGTTGACACATTTCATTATACAATAACCAAAAAAATCACATCGTGATTAATATCACCACTAATCTCATCAGAAAAGTCTCTAAGTGTTGGGGCTCTGTCAAGCTCATAATGAAAGACAAGAGTTTTCTAAAATTCTAATTTTTCCTTTAAGGCTTTCAGAGCCTCAAATTTCATCTCTAAGAAGAAAAACTATCTGTTTTCCTTGACGTGACAGGCTCGCTCGGTTCATTTGAGAGACAGTACCTGCCGAAATGCCAGTCCTGAAGGAGCAGAGTGTGCCTCTCGGTCACTGTCTTGGGGTCTAAAGGTGTCCCATGAAAAGGGGGCAACTTAAGGCCTCTCAGAAAGACGACCCCTGGACTTCGGGGAGCAGCAGGAATGCTGTGTGCATCCCTCCCATTTTGTTAAAAAGATGTGCAGGGGTTGAGATTTCATAAAATTTTAATTTTTGCTGCTTCAAGGACATTCTAGGTGAAACTGCCCCCCCCCCCCC